TATTGAGACTATTGTTGTCTTCAGGTTGGTGTTGTCCACCTATATTGGGGTTGTTTTTATCTACCCATTTAAAGTTTTTATTTCCCACTCATATTGTTGCTCTTTTTGCCTTTACATCGTTGGTATGTTTCAATAAGAAAATTTAACTGAAAATTTTTTTAGACTACTTTAAAGGTTTCAATATTGAAAGAATCCTGACCACTAGTGCGAATTAATATTACAAAAAATCTCAAAATTTTGTAAGGATCAATGATATTGTGTTGATGATTACTGATAATATTTTGATGCTTTTTCAGAAAAAAAATTATATTCCAAATGACAAAATGGTTGTCTCCCATACTCTTTGATCAAGCCTGTGCTTTGCCAATGGAATACCTCATTGTTTGTGAGACGAGTTTGAATAAGGGCATTTGATTCCCACCAGTTTCAGAGCTAGCTAGTATTTTATCAACATGTAGAGTATGTCTTTGCAAACTTTTTGGTTGTGCTATGATAATTATTATGGGGTTGATTATCTTCTTTAGGGAGCATGATGCGACATTTTCATTAGAGATAGTGGTAAGGATAGACATGTTCATTTATGATATTCAAGATCATATCACTTATCAGAGTAGATGGTTGGCATTTCGAATGAGAGTTGCTTTAAAAATTTAGTCTATTTATTTTTTTCTTCATGAAAATTGATTGCAGTCTTAGTGATAAAAATGAAAAACAAAATGAACCACGAAGTCCTCTTCTTGTTGCAAAAGAGAATATATTGAGGATTCTAAATTTTCAAAATATTAAGCAACATTAGCATGAGGTGCATAACACCAATAAATATGAGATGAAAGAAGATTTGTTCAAGGTTGAGCTCTCCATTCATACAAGAAAATCCCACTCTACGATGTTGAATTGGTCAGGGGGATACAGAGAAGTTTGCGCAAGCGCCAAACATATCCTCCAAGTGTTTTTTACACGATGGTAAAATATCTCCCTATATACGGAATTTGAAGATTGAAAGGGGTCATATGAATTTTCTTTGATGGATCCTTTGAAGATTCATATCCTGAGGAAGTGTTGAATAACACGTGCATGAGAATATCATGTGTTTGAGAATGTGCAATCACTATTAAACCATTGTTTATTTTTGTACTATATTTTTTTGTAGTTGATATATATTTATCTTCTTTAGATGATGAAGAATATAAATACAGATCTCGAGCTGGAGCTTTTCTTAATGCATGGAATGCAAAGTTTATGAAGATCAAATTTCTTCAAAGCGAATATAAGTAGATGTACAATGTCATTGCATAGTAGATATTAGCCTTAAAAGTCAGCTAACATAGTGTAGGACTAAATTTTCTGTTATGGCAATTTCTCCTTACATGTAAAGCGAGAGCTTAATAAAAATCAAGATGAACAGATAAATGTGTAATGTGATCTTATACTTTACACGAAAGTTTAAAAGTTTCTTAAACAAAAATTTTCGGCTCTTGAAGAGAAAACTAATAAGTTGCAGAATCAGTGTGTAGTAGAAATATTCATCTTAGACTTCTAAAAAAAGATTATTTTGATGCAACATAGGATTAGGGCCCACATCGAGGGTTTATTTCTTAGCAAGACATCTAAAGACCCTCCTTTCTTTTCAGAAGATGAACGGGTTGGAATCAAGCAGAAGATAATATTCTCCAATGTTGAGGAGGATGAGCATATTAACATTGAATAGTGTACGATCTCTAAGAATGATCTTTTTTGTTTAATTTTTTAATAACTTATTTTTTTTTTATAGTAGTATATTTTTTCAAGTACTATTTTATCTGTCGTCGTATGTGTTTGTTGATAATATGTTGATATTGAAAATTTATTTATTAAGTTTTTTTTTTATTTGAATTGAAGTCTTGGCTTTGATATGATGTTGGTGAGGTTGACAACATCAATTTTGTTTCTTCTTTGTGTTGATTTCTTGTAAGTTGACCTTAGAGAAGAGGAATCTATTAAATGTCTTGTTAAGAATCAAATATATTTCAATTAAGTTATTCCTCGCCCATAGAGGCATAGTGACATCAAACTCTTATAGGGCTTTTATCTTTTAAGATCTTTTGAGTGTACATGTATCATCTAGGACTGATAACCTACTGAGATTTTTTTTGAGTGGAGATCATATCAAACACTTGCCCTCATAGAGTCTTTTTGGTGATAAGGATCGTGTCCACTAATTGCTCTCCATCGAGATTGTCACAAGGGCATGTGTTTCAGGGGTTTGAGTGAAGACATTATTGGTCACTTACCCCCAATTGTTCTTTCTAGTCAGATTCATGTTCACTAATAAATTTTTATTGAGACTACCACTTGTGAGTGTTTCCCAAGAGTAGAAGTAGCGAGAGTCTACAAATTTCCCTTAAGTGGTCTTTTTAGTGGGGATCATGTCCAGCACTAGCATTCCATCAAGGCTACCTCATATACGTGTATCTCAGAGGTATGTGTAGAGACTAGTCTAACACTTACCCTCAATGAGTCTATCTAGTGAGGACCATCTCTACCACTAGCTTCCCATCTAGACTTTTTCATGGGCGTGTCTCTTAGGGATATAAGTGGAGATTGAGTCTGTGACTTGCTCTCAAGGGATCTTTTTAGTGAGTATCATATCCCTATCTTGCTTCTCATCAAGGCTACCTCATGGGCATGCATTCCAGGGGTATGTGTGGAGATTAGATCTTCCACTTGTCCTTGATGGGTCTTTTTATTGAGAATCGTGTATACCACAAGCTTCTCATCGAGCTACCTCATGGGCGTATATTCTAGGGGTATAAGTGGAGAATAAGTCCACCACTTTTCTCTCAAAGTGTCTTTCTAGTGGTGATAATGCCCACCCCTAGTTTCCCATCAAGACTACCGTAGAAGCAAGTCTTTCAGGGGTACGACTGCATACTAAGTATGCCACGACTAACTTTAGACTTATCTGAAGTTATTTTCAGGGACTTATTAGAACACATTAACCCACATAAAAGAGGTTATAAAAAATTCACCAATAATATTTGGCATATCCGAGGCAATACATATAAAGTGCCATGAGAAACCAATCAATGATATTTGACCTATTTGAGATAATTTATACATCATGTGTAAATACACACGAATCACATGTAAATAAATAATTATTATGGATCCTCTTCTTATAAAACATATTTATTAAATATTTTCATCCATATTTAAATAACTTCATGTGATGCTTCCAAATAAGAGAATAGGTTTTATTTTTAATGATTATAAATAAATTATAGAATATAAATTTTAAATATATGATTTAAGAAAAAAAATATTGTAATGTTATATTTAATAAAATGTGCTTTTCTTTTTATAACTCAAATTCCAATACATGTCGTTTAATAAAAATGCATTTACATATCTAACCTCAATTTTTTTATTTTTATTTATGTGTATTTCATATTTTAAAAGTTAGGGGCGATATTATTATGTGATATGAAAGAAATGGGGGGTATAAATATAAAAAGTAATGTTCAAGTGTTGGAGATGTAAAAACATACGTATTGGGTGATATGTATGCAATATCTTCTTAAATAGTTTGGTTTTTATTTATTTATGTCCTTTCATTCTCTTTCTTATCACCAATGCTGGTGAGATCTGGTTTTTATTTAATACTTGAAAAGTCCAATGCCCACCAAATCATGAAAAAAAAAGGAGACTTCACCCAAAACAACAAATATTACATTTATCCTTTATATAATAATATATTAAATATATTTATTTCTAGCTTTAAAGCATAATTGCTCGTTTGGTAATGTGGTTATGCGTCTTCTTTTGTATTTATTTGGTCGAGGTTCAAATCCAACCCTTTACATTTATTTTTTCAGTTTAATTTTAACGAGCCAATTTTGAGCCGAACACAAACACAAATATTTAAATCGAGCCGAAAATGAACACACTGCTCACGAACCGATTTCAAACACGATGTGATTTCAAACACAAATAATTTCAAACGAGTCGAACACGAGCCAAGTCTGAGCTCGCTCAAGCTCGGCTCGTTTACAGCCCTAGCTCACAGCAATTGAGGACCTTCTTGGATGCTTTATCAAACAAAATCTTAATTCCATGACGATCAAACAATTCTACCTTAATATAAGCTGTGCGCCGTTATGCGTGCAAGGATTGTTTTGGTAATTTAAACCTACTTTTAGTTGCTGGGCCCAGCCCAGGAGTAGATAAGAACTTGGGCTTCTAAGCCCGACAACGAGTTTAATGTAATTTAACTTGCTGTACTTTTTGCTCTATTATATATATATATATATATCTAACCTCAATTTTTTATTTTATTTTATTTTTTTTTTTTGTATTTCATATTTTAAAAGTTAGGGGTGATATTATTACGTGATATGAAAGAATTGGGGGGTATAAATATAAAAAGTAATGTTTTAAGTGTTGGAAATGTAAAAACATAGGTATTGGGTAATATGTATGCAATATCTTCTTAAATAGTTTGGTCTTATGACCAATGCTGGCGTGATCTGGTTTCTAATTACTGCTTTTCTGAATAGAATTCAAATTTTCTATCGCTCTATTGCCAAATCTAATTATTTAGGAGCCCGTTGAGATTAGTTTTATTTATTTTTTTTACATATATTTACTTAAAATAAAATTCTTTGATATGTTATAATAAACTTAATTATTTTTTTAAATATTCAAAATAATTTTTAGATATTTTATGTATTTTTAGAAATAAATTCATTTATTTTTGAAAATAACTAAAGAAATGAAAGGAACCCAACATTAAAAAAAAACATAAAATTGAAGTTCCTATAATATCAAACTCATGCGTAATTAATACTTGAAAAGTCCAATGCCCACCAAACCATGAAAAAAAAGGAGACTTCACCCAAAACAACAAAAAAGCAAAGAACCCCCAAAACAGAGCAGCAGCAGAGTCACACTCCTAGTAAAGATTGCTCTTCCAACCAAACAAACCTTCTGGAAACCACAGAGCGATCTCCTTCCTCGCACTCTCAATTGAATCGCTTCCATGGATCACATTCCTGCAATAACAAAGACAAAAAAAAAAAAAGGATTCAATCATAAAAAAAAAAAAAAAAACATTAAAAAAAAAAAAAGCAAAAAGAAAAACAACCCCAAAAACAAAAAAAAAAAAAAATCAAAACAATTGCATAATCGGCCCGAACAGTTCCGGGTTCCCATTTCGAAGGATCTGAAGCCCCAATAATCTTCCGACAATTCACAATAACGTTGTCTCCCTCCCAAACCATGGCTACCACAGGGCCAGAGGTAATGTGCCCGACAAGCGCGGGAAAGTATCGCTTTCCCGCCAAATCCTCGTAGTGCTTTTCTGCGATGGACCGCTCCGCGTTTAAAATCTTCAACCCTAAAATTTAAATAGACGAACACTCATCACAACAAAATATATAAACACAGAAGAGTTGATGCAAGGGAGTTTGATAAAAAAAACCAAATACCTTTCAGGTGGAAACCGCTGCATTTGAAGCGCCCGATGATCTCGCTAATCTGAAGAGATATAGATTTGAGTTGTTCAAGTTGAAGATGAGAGGAAAATTAGAGAAACGAAAGGTGGATTGATGGGTTACCAGGTTGTGATGGACGCCATCAGGCTTGATCATGATGAAAGTCTGCTCCATTGCTCCATCTTAATTGTTTCAATTGTTTGAGTAGATCTGTCTCCAAATCAAATAAGAGAGGGAGAACTTGTAGTGGTACTTGGAACAAGAGGGCAATGGGGTTTCTATTTATAGATTAGAATTTGTAAGGGACATGTGTATTCGTTGCATTTCTTAACGGGCGGCTCCTGCTATTTTTGGAAAGGAATTGGAAAGGAATTTTGAAAAGGATTCCAAAAATATTAAAACAACGAAGGATTCCAAAAATATTCCACTTTTATTTTTGGAAATGAATTTTGAACGAAGGATTCCAAAAATATTCCACTTATTCAATGGCGGCTTATAATATAGTAGCAATGATTTTGGTGGGTCCTACCATATATTGGATTTCAGATAATAAGGGAAAAGAGTCTAATTATTTAATTCATTTTTAGGTTGACTTTGAAATCTTATATATGGGAAGTATTAATTTTGCATGCATACCAACAATTTTTATGTATTTAAATATTTGTTATCTTAAATATCACATTAAAGAATTAATGAAATAAATAATGATGATGTAACATTTTGGTTTTTCATTAATGAGAACTTAGGTATGGGATGTGTAAGTTCATAAGGATTGTGCGGTATGAATCTAAATGATTCTAATATAATTGAGGGCTAAATTTACACTCTTACAAAAAAAAAAAAAAAAAAAAAAATCTTGAAGTTAATGACTACCAATAATCAATGTCAATTACCTTCAATCATCGTCGATCGCCACTTGTGGCTTTTGTAGTTGACTATTATTGCCCACACTATTATTGTCTAATCATTATAGCTCAATCAAAGCCTCTAAACCCCAGGTTTTTAACTTAAAGAGAAGAGTGAAGTTTAAAACCACTCTAGTTTAAAACATATAGTGAAATTATTTGCTTATGTCTCATCCTATAACTTTTATTATATATTTTTGTGTTAGATTTTCGTGCAACGCTAAAACACTAATATTTCACTCCTTTATGAATTTTCTAGCACGTAATAGTTTTCCTTTTTAAAATTAAAAAAAAAATAATATCAATTTTAACTAATCATATCTAAAATAGCTAGAGAATTAAATTTCAAATGCTTTCCTCATTTTTTATTTATTATTATTATTATTATTATTTTTTCTATAGGAGAAGATCAAATAATTATTATTTTTAGTATTTTAAGAAATCCCCATAAAAAATAAAAAGTTTTAAACATTTTTAGTTATTACAGATAATTTTATAATATTTTTAGAGGCATTTACATACAAAGCATTCAAAACATCATGATTTACATTTTTACCGCATAAAGTTTTTTGTTTTTTTTTTTTGACAACTCTCGGCACTTTATTAACTCCAAACTCCATTAATTGATCTTATTTGACGCTTAACAGAAGAAGATAATTGAGACGTAAGATTAGAAAGAGACTGATTATGATATATATATATATATATATATATATATTATATGTACCAGAAATGACAGACTTCACAGAGGCCAATTAGGACCATGCAATCTAGGGAATAAATTTGCATACTTACATGTCAGGGATATGCAGAGGGTACAGGAGGGTTAGATCCACGTTATACTCTCTATATTCTCCCCGTAACTTACCTGTAACCTACAAATATATAAAAACATAACCGTAAAATTTAATAGAAAGTACATGTAGATTACAGAGAAGTTACATAGGATATAACGTAGATAAAACCGCCATGCACCAGCTATATCCCTGACGTACGCAGAGTTGCAAACGTCTTACGTACGCAAAATTTTTCCGTAATCTAGAGGGCTTTTACTTTTACCAATTTTTGATTTAAGAGGAGAAATTTACTGTATTTAATAAACAAATGTATATATTATGCACATTTTCTACATATAACGTTCTCTTTTTATAAATATAAATTAATTTAATTTTTTTTTAATCACAATAAAATCAAAATTAAATTTAATTTAATTAAAGCGTGACACATATATTAAGTGCCCAAATACAAAACAAAAAATCTATTGATCCCTTTTCTTTAATTATTATAGATTTTATAACGTTAAGAAAATACGAAAAGAATTATTAAAACATCTTAAAATCAACGTGTTAGTCGTAATCTATGTTTATGTTGGTAATTAATCATAATCTCTTAGCTAAGAAATTCTCATTTTTTATGTTGTAGTCTTTGACAAGAAATTCTCATTTTTTATGTTGTAACACCCTGCAAAGATTAAAATTATATTTATGACATTTTTAATTAATAAATGATCTTATTTGTTGAGCCCAAAAATGTCCGGGAATCATGCCCAAGAAATAGAGTGTGCAAAATAAGTAAAATAGCCTTTTATTTATGAATGGGCTCCCTATTTATAGGTATGAGAGGTTTTTTATATATACAATTACTTTTATGCCCTCCGTCTATACCAAGGAATTCGGGGATATTAAAATAATTTGCATGATACATTATATAAACAAACTTTTCACCGATAGGGTGACCCCTCACTTGCTCGGTTTGCTCCCATTCGTTCATCTCTTAGCTGGACGAAGCACGTGATGATGGTATGTTGTATTTTTGTCTGGCTTCACCAATGTTCCTATCACAATTCCTTAGTCGCTTTTCCCCACTCGATGGACATATTTTACTCGACCGGTTCCGCAAATATTCCTTGTTTGGCCTTGAGGTCGTTGGCTTATCATATGGCCGGGCGACCAATTGGTATTTTGTGACGAACTTCGGATTTGAGTGTCGACTAACTGAATGATTTGATTTGACTATCCCGACTCTGACATATCTCAGCTACGAACCCACCTCATTTGTAATATTTTATATCCTTGCATGAAGATTCGTCCCACACTGATCTGATCATACATTCTCTTATGAGAATATACTACTATATTTCACTCAATTTTTTTGGCTGAGGGTTTACTTTTGTAATACTTTTGATTCATTCTTATTTTATTTTGTTTCAACCGTTTTATTTTTGGATTAATAATCAAACTTATTAAAATAATTTCATTTGAATAAAATACTACAACACTGACTTTGCTCAACAAGTGGATATACAAGTTTAATTCATTACAAGTCTTTTTCATCTCTAAGACTTGATAACGCCTAACATTCTAGCATTACTTCCTCTTTTATCAAGCGTAAATAGTTATTTTACACAAATAACTTCTGTCAACGTAAATGATTGGTCCGACATTGAGTTTCGGAACGCGGCCGTTTTGATTAATTAGTCCCACATCGCTTAAGTTAGCGGAATACGGGGTTCGCAGTTTGTACAAAAGCGCGCTTGTTTGGAGGGATGAAGCATCTTTGCGCTTGGGGCAATGACGCAGGCAATGAGGTATTAACCGAGTCGCGTCTATTGCTGGTTGAAAACTATTTCCAAACCCCCTCTTGGGCTTAGGCTTGACCTGGACCCAAGAGAATTTCTGGAAGGGCACCCTTTTTGGGATAAGCCCTACAATTCACTAAAAAAAGTTTTAATTATATATAGGCGTTTCAATGTTGCACGATTATATTAAAATTCATAGTAAAATTACTGGATCTTAAATGAGATAAATGTGGTCTAAATATTCTAATAAAATTTATGCAAAATTTATAAAAGATTCCAACATAAAAAAGTATTTGTTTGATTGGGCTCAATTTGGCCCAAATTAGTAAACATAATAAATAAATAAAATTTATAGAATATCTATAGGTTAAATTTTTTTACTATACTTAAAACAAATATTAAAGCTATTTCGAACATGAGCCGAACACGAATAAACTTTTGGCTCATTTATGTTCAACTCGTTTACACACCTACTAGCAGTAGGGGCAAAGCTTTATCTATAAGAATAAAATATAATTATCACTACATAAATATGAATGGACGTATATCTTACCTCCATTATTATATTGGCACGCAAACATGTACGCACATAGGCACATTTAAGTTGTCTTACCACTCACATAAAACATTATCATTACATATAACAGTATTTTAAAATAAAATAAGTAAGTCTTATGCTAGTCCATGACGGTCTATCGTAATTATTATATATGATAGAAGTGATTTTAGATGTGATTTTAGAGAGAGAGAGATTTCATTGACTAATGTTGAATTCATTTTTGCCTGTGAATCACACCTAAGAAAAAGCATGACGCATGCAGATAGACAGAAAGAAATGGATGAAAAGAGTCCAAAAACTAAATCTTGGATCTATGATCTCTTAAATCCGTTTTACATTTAATTCTCTCACTTTTATTGGAGAACTCCTGTAAAATAATAAGTGCAGGTCAAATGTGTATGGATATTTAGGGACATCTAATTGCCTTCCCAATCACATCATCATTTAAACTCTAAATATTCCAAAAGATTTTCTAACTAAAATCAACTAGCTATCTGGCGAATGACTGAAGATAAATGTTCTTGGCATTTGCCCTTGTATATTCTTATTCAACTTTCACACAACCTTTGTATTTGGCCATTCACATTCGACCCTTAGCATTCGATCATATAAATCGATCGTACTCGTCTGAGTTAGACGAAGTTGGGTTGATCGCCTGCAACATCTTTATTTTGCCGGATCTCCCTGGGAGGCCTGAACTAGATAAGAGGCCCATTCAGGTGAATTTCCGCTCTTACTAGTGTGATAGCTATTTTTTTTCATTATGCATATTTAATTTTACAATTCTGTTGTTTCTCAGAAAGTTGTATTACGATAAAAATGAGAATTAAATTAATTAAAGAACCATCTGATTCAAGTGACACTTATGGTGTGAACACTCCATTGAATTTTGGGTCCGACTCTTATAAATAGATGGATAAGACATTTGTTGACTCTCATTTGGGTTTTACTCCCTTTTTCTTTATTCTTAAATTCAATCACTTTTCAATTGACATACCATAATAGAACTCTAACAGTCGAATACCGACATTCTGAACAAGGAGTTGTTGTCGGACATGTGCACCAAGAGAAAGCAGGCGAGTGATAAGAGAGGGAACAAAGCCGTGGTGAAATTAAAAACAAGACAGGGGGA